TCTCTCTCTCTCTCTCTCCTCTCTCTCTCTCTCTCTCTCTCCTCCTCCCTCCCCCTCCCCTCCCTCCTCCTCTCCTCCTCCTCCTCTCTCCTCCTCCTCCTCCCTCCCCTCCTCTCTCTCTCTCTCTCTCTCTCTGTCTCTCTCTCCCTATGCGAGAGCTACCGGAGTCAGCCAAAACCGCTGAAAGACGCGCGAGAGATCGATCGCGCGTCAGATCCAAACCGCAAAACAATTGTCGCGAATATTTCTCTGAAAAGATGCTCTAGCGGCGACGAGCGCAGACCGGAGGAGGAGATGCCTTCCGTGCGTCTTCATCCTCGCGTTTCACGTCCGCGAACTTTCGCGACTCGCCGTGACGACTGTCGCTAAATTTACCGAAGTTTAATTAAATCTCTATTACATTTTTATTAGAAACAAAACTCTGACATTTTCTTTCAGCGAAATATTTTACCCGGGTATGATCGGTGACGCACGCGTGCGGGCGTGATGAACGGAGAAATATTTTCTTTAAACATCGAAATAACTTCATTTTTACGTAAACTTTTATTATATCTTTTTGCAAATCTCGAAATTTCAATATTAAATACCATGGCGTTTCTTCCTCTTTCATAAATTTAAGGTCTTCTTATCTCTCTCTAAATTTAGCCGAGTAATAAAATGTTACTAATTATGGACTAAAATTACATCCAACAGGGCAATCTTTATTAAAATCTCTTCTTTAATTGAGAATGTCATATAAATTTCATTCATCGATATTTTTATTAAAGAAAATTATTTAATCTTTTGAAATGAAACATTCAATTTCTCATAAATGGTTCAAGTTAAAGACACGAGGTTTTATAAACGATATTTTTATTTGATATTTTATAATTAAATTCATATTTCATTTCAAGTGCATCGATTGAATTTTTCACTGAGGTTAATTTGTCTTAATACTATCGGAATGCTTATGATCGTGTGTGAATTAATGCCCCATAAGCTTGCATACATTTTTTTGCACAGAGCGTTGAAGAAAGGCATTTAAAAATTCAACGACATATCCTTTGATCAACATAAAGTCGACTATTTTTTTTTTTATCAAAAATGACGATAAATTTGCATTGAAGAAATTGAATTTTTTTTTCGAGAATTAATTCAGAAATAAAGTATACATGTAAAATATTAATAATATTATTCCAAGTTTTTTTCAACAGAATTTCGGTTTAAGGGTTGAAATTTCTGTCGAGAAGAGATCGACTTCAGATTATTCAAAGAATGCGTCTTCCTATTGTTCCTGCGTCCCTGTGACGGTTTCCGCATAACTCTTATGAAAGGGTTACGAAAAGAATCAAAACAACTTGACGTCGAGTCAATGTTAATTGTATTTCTGTTAATAATTGTTGCAAGATTGTTCGCGTTACCCGCTTTGCAAAGAAAAGCATATGCAGGGGCGATGATGACAACACGAATATACAGGTAGCTGGGAGAGCTTCTGTTACGTGCATTGCACTCGGAGCGCAGTTATATGTATAATAATTACATATAATTTATCTAGCGATAGGATAATACTATCTGTAAAAAAAGTATTTCTCTTGTGGACGCGCTTGCATTATATTGCGTTTACAATTCATGTAGTGCGTATCATCGCGGTCGCATACGCTCGCGTATCCGTGTGTATTTACGATGTTTGTTTGCATTATGTATATGTATATGTGTGCGTATATGTATGTGTATGTGTATACGCATATGCGACTTTCATAATTCGTACAAGCTCGGATACTACGTATGTCATTTTTCTAATCATCGTTGCAACGCATTGCACGCCTGAATAGTCGTTACAATAATAAAAATAATTATTTAACTTTAACAATATATTCATTTGATATAGTCATCTTGTTAATAAATAGAGCAACATATACATAACATTAACAATTGCTAGATATATGTATACATGTAATGGGGGGGGGGAGGAGGGAGGATAATAATGAAATGAAGAAAAGAAAAGAAGGGAGGAGGAGGGGCAAGAACGACGTTAGATTTTACATACATACAGCAATTATGTATAATAAGATATATACATATGTACACGAAATATTTCTTTCAACAACGATAATCACGTTTAATTACAATTATTTGTGGAATTTTTTTTTTTACAGTAATGCGGGGAAGGGGAAGGAGCGGGGGCGGGGGCGAAAGAATGATCAAAGAATCGGAAGTATTTGACGGAGACAGCCGAGATTTAGCGTGTTCGGAGCACGAAGAAAATACGGCGTGAGAACGCAGGCATAGGGGGGCAACGAGAGCAATAAAAAAAGAATACAATATAAAAAAAGCGAAAAAATTGCTGTTGCAAAATCAGAAGTCGATATCTTGTAAAAAAAAATCACGTGGGAAAATTTACGAAAACATATTGCACAATTTCTCTGGCAAGGCAACGCAGTACAGAATAAATTTAACAATCGTCGAAATCAAGTTTCTCAACAACATTTATCGTAACGAAAGGAGAAACTCTTTTTTTTCCCTCCTTTTTCTAGCACCTATACATCTCCTAACGCAATCCCATAAAATCTTTTTAAAAAATAAATACCTTTGTCCTGATCGTTCGTATTTAAGAGAGATAGATTCGAGATAGATTACTATGCTTGAATCATGGTTATATACAAATATATACTTAATAAAAAAATATCTCTATTTTCCGTTGCCGCGAACCTTGTCAACAGTCCCGCCTTTCTTGTAAGATATATATGTAGATCTACCTACAAGTATACAGCTCCATGGAAATATGAATTTCTTGGGAAATTGCACTTAAATCGCGTGAGTCTTTTAAATTGCGCTCTTACGGGAGATGGGGGCGGACGGAGAGAGGGAGGGCGGAGTAGAGGGACGAGTTGTATCTGCTCTTAAATATTGAGCCCCGTTTCTCTCATATTGACCATGGAACGAGTCGATACATAATACTTTATCGTTTTACGAAGCATTACATTCTCGCACAGTCGTTCGCATGCAATGAGACGCATTGCTCCACCTCATCCCACCTCCCCATCCCTCCTCTTTGTCCCTCTTTTTCTCCCTCTCCCTCTGTGTCTTCCGCTTCACTCTACGATTCCCGGAAGCTGCGGATGGTATCGATTTCATGTTATACAATTGCACGAAAACGCTCTCGCCACGCTCAATGGCATCTGAATACGGCGAAATGCCGTCGAATGTCTCGCGAGCGGGGAGAGAGAGCGTTCGCATTTCTGTGCGTATCTGGATACAAGCTAAGGCAGAAAATACACGTAAAGCGGAATAATAACTGTCTGTCGTTTCACTATTTTAAGAATGGGATCTTTTTTTATAATCGAACGATTAACTTCCATTCCATCGCGGTCGTTTCCATTCAACTGCGAGTTGGTTTCCAATAATCGCATACAAATTGTGCCTTAGTATATTTTAAGTACTTCGATTTTTCGTTATGACGCAAGAAACATTATTTTGGTACAGTGAGTAAACCACATTCTCTTCAGTGAGTTTTATCTTAAAGTGCATGAAGTTAATCGTTCTCGCTCGCGAGGGATGAGAATTACATACGCGACATTTAAATATTTCTTCTTTGATTCGCACGATAATTTTCAGAATGAGCAAATTGCTTATGATTATTCTTACGATTTACAGAGATTCAATAGCGGAAATTCCAAATATAATTCGTCTTGTGCTGTTTGTAAAATTCATTTGTATCCAGCTAAGGCTCTTCTAATATAAACGACTAATGAATCGATGACAAATGACGACAACGGATCAGTCAGTGACGGATCAGTTGTGACCGCCTAAAGGTTTCCGCGGTTTCTTCATCGGTCATCATGAAAGATGCAGGGAAAAAGAGAGCGAGCGATGGTTGGAGAGAGAGAGAGAGAGAGAGAGAGAGAGAGAGAGAGAGAGAGAGAGAGAGAGAGAGAGAGAGAGAGAGAGAGAGAGCTGGCGTTTCCCTCGTTTTAAGGATTAGGCTGATGTAGGTACCTGAGATCGGTGGCGGTTCGACAAGCGCGGAGGGTCCGAAGAAAGACGGTAGGTCGCTGCTGGTGGTGACCGGCGTGTTCAGGTCGCCGGGCTTATCCTTATCGTTCGTATCGTGAATATCGTTCCTGCAATTCCTGATACAACTCTTATCGTCGTCATCGGGCTGATGTCTCTTGTCCGCGGTATCGGTGGACGGTGACGACGCATTGGCGACATGCAGCTGATGCTGGTGATGGTCGTCCAATCGATGATGATGATGATGCTGATGATGACGGCCGTGGTTGTGCTCCGGGGACGCGGTCGAGCTGATCTGGAGTTGCATATGTAACGGCACGCTCGGCGCCAAGGAGAGCGACGGCGTGCTCTTGTCGCAGCTCGTGGAGGATGAATTCGTGCAGGTCGCGTTCACGGACGTTCCGCAGGTGACCGAGCCGGACGAGGAGGAGGCCGCGTTGTACGGTAAACACGCGTCGAAGCTAAGCTGCACGGATTGCAGATTGAACGTCGCGTGATGATGATGATGATGGTGACCCATGGGTGGCGAGGAGAGCAGAAACGGACTGGTGGCCGCGTGCGGCTGCGAGCCCACCACCTCCACGCCGTCCATAGTCATCCTCTGGAGCTGGTCGCCTCCCTGGGCGACGGCAGAATCCTCGGTACCGCACTGCGTGTCCTCGCCTGCGGTTGTATCGTTCAACGTAATTATTATGGTTAAAATTATTACAGCCGTTCCTCGATCACTTTGAGAATTTTTAAGTTATTATCCCGGGAGTAAGTAGGTATTTTTTTCTCTCGCTCTTTCTCCCTTCCTCCGTCCCAGTGTAAATAGCGCGCGTGTTAAAGCCCGTGAGTAATGCGTTAATGTCGGAGAGATCGGCCCGTCGATCGGTCTCGTTCCGTCACTCTACACCTTTCGGCTAGTAAGATTAGTAGCGATTAACAATGCGTGAGACGTTTCCCTCTTTCTTGCTTGATCGCGCGCCCTTGATTAACTCAATCAAGTCGTTCGCACGCCGGTCTGACGCAAGAAGAAAAGGTGTCTTCTTTCCCGCCTTTTTCCTTTTTACCTCGATGGATGCCACCGGCCGCGGCCGGCAACACCACGTCGCGGAGTAAACCACCACCGACCACTAGTAATCATCATCACCGTCACCATTTACCACCACCGTTCGCCAAAGAAGTTACGCGCGTCTAAGACCGCGTTGCGGCTCCTCCCGCATACGCGTAGATATTTCGCCGATCGGTCGGTCAGTTTGGTCGAGGTACCTGATACCACCGTGTCTCTCCGCGAACGACGAGGAAAAGAAGATTACGCGCGACGCTCGACGGTTGTTAATATCGTGTGAGACCGGTCTCGAGATATTACACTCCTCTTCTCACCTTCCCGACGTTACGGACGCGTCCGAGAGAGCCAACGTGAGTAC